ATCGGCCGCTCGGACCTAAGCTGAAACGAAGTATAGCTTTATTCGTTTTATGTTTCGTGAACCTTTCTAATATAATTAGCGAAAACGCTTGGTTTTTACTGTTTGCATTATCAGAAGTGTCATGTTTATGTTTCTACGTGCCATCATGGTGTTACGTGATGACGTATGTCATGTGACGTTTGAATGTCACTTGATATCACAGTGTCACGTGATGTCATGACATGACGTGACACATGGGGTCACCTGACGTCATTAAGTCACGTGGCGTCACTGTCCAACGTGACTTGACTTCACAATGTCACGTCATGGTGTCAGCTGACGCCAGGTAACAAGGTGACGTGATGCGCGGCGTGATGTTAGAGCCGTATCGAGCGGCGTGACATCAATTTAGCCTATTTTGGAGGAGTGCCGCAAATGGCCCGCGTCGATATTAAGCGCCGCCTGCTATCAATAAAAAATATATGTAAACAAATTTTACTTGGTGCATTACACGAAACATTATAAACATGCCGAATATGCAGGGTGTTTTAGAAAACGGTGGCCGAATCGGTCCTGCGAAAACTAAGCATAGCACAGGAAAAAGGTTGATGCCGTGTTGGTGAGGGCCCAAGAGCACATTTAGAAAAAAAATAGTAACGCTTAAAAATAGTTTTTTTTTTAAAGTTCTTTGGAAAGTAAATTTTTATTTGTTCATTTAAAGGCCATAGTTTCAATTCAAAAATTACTGGGCATCATCAATAACCCCTACATACACCATTTTTAGACAAGTATGAAGCATGCCAAGCATTTTACCATGTTTTATAAAAGCCTTCAATTCTGACACGTACTCTGTTTCGAATTCGTATCCAAGCGCATCTTGGCGGCAGCTGTCCTGCCTTCCGACGGCCGAAACGCGGAACCAAGGCCAGACAATTCGCCAGTCTGTCCCGCCTGCCCGCCCGCCTCCTTCCGTAAAGAACAAAGCGAAGCGCGTGCATGGCAGGCCGATAAGGAAGGCCTCGCTGTTCTAAAGAGCATGACATTGCAAGATGCAGCTTTGACCTTTTGGCTGGCACTGGTTCCGCGCTTCAGTCATCGGAGGGCAGGACACATGCCGCCAAGATCCGTTTGAATAAGGATCCGAAACCAGCGTACGCCGTCAGAATTGAAGGATTTTTCAAGACATGGTAAAATGCTCGGCATGCTTTATATTTGTCCAAAAAGTGTTGATATAGGTGTTATTGATAATGCCCAGGAAGTTTCTAATTGGAACGATGGCCTTAAAATGAACAAATAAAAAGTTACTTGCTAAAAAACAGAGCAAAAACAATTTTTTAAAAACGCTAATTTTTTTTTCTAAATAGACTCTTGGGCAGACACCAACACGGCATCAACCTTTTTTTTTTGTGCGATGCTTAGTTTTCGCAGGAGCGATTCGGACTGCGTTCTTTGAAACAGACTATATATTTATTAATTAAATGAACACGCGATAGGTTTTAAAATAAATATCCCCCGCCCCAACTTGTTAGCAATACATTAAAATTTGGGTATAAAAGTAAGATATAAAGAAGGTAATTCATTCGTGTGGAAAGAAGGCATCTGGTACGACTAGCTACGCCCTTAATTTGAGCTTTCTGTTAGTATCAGTGGTTTACACGATTCTCCCACTACATTGCGGCAACAAGTATGACATCACGACACTTAAAATGACTTACATCATCTATACGAAGTGAATTTAGGATGATTTGCTGATGTGCGGGTATGGACTCTTTTTTATTGGAATCGAACTGGCTATTGCTTTTTTCAAATGCGTAGAATAAAAAACTGAGCAGATATAAAGTGTTTTCGTCGTATCAAAACTTAAATCTATGAACTAATGAATATAATGAACAAAACATATCTTTGTATTATCAGCATATATAATAAATTTTGCTATGGAGCTATTTTTTACGGTATTGCTAAGTTAACGTTGAAGTGTAGTGACCCCATTACACTACCCTGTAATTCACCTCAAAACATAGGTTGAACCTTTGAGCCCATATTATTTATCCGCCCGTCTTTTTTTTTTTTTTTGACAAAAAAAACATAACTTTAAAAGCGATAAGACCCATCCACGTATACCACCGTAGTTAAATTTTTCAAGCAATATGTTATAATATACTAAGCCAAAGTTTGAAAAACCGACGAATAGCCCCATGAACCTTATATATGTTTTAAAATTATGTAAGGATATCGTATGTTTTCTGCTCACCTAAAGCAAACTTGCTTAATTAGTTTTTACACAAAAAAAATTGGTGTGGTGTCAGCAAGTTACACTTATCAATAAATCTAAAAATATGTGGTGCGTTTTTTATAGACTTTGAAAATACTGGCAGAACATAAAGTAGGCTTTAATTTTCCAGGTCATTTTAATGTCCCTTTGTGTAAAGTAATGTAATTTGTGTTACTTCCATTTAGAACAGTAAAAGTGCTGTAACTAAACAGGTTAAATATACCAGTGAGAATATATTCAATAATATCAACTACATGCTTCATATGCCCTATCTGGTGGTCGTCAATATCACCGCTACTGTGATTACTTAGATTTTGTATTACTGATAATACTTCATGCACGGTGGCCGGTTACATAAACATTGCGTTATCATGTCGAATGCGCACATATCCTCAAGCCGGAGAAGAGCAACCACATGTAGTAATGTTTGTAAAGAAATCGTTAAATGCATCATCCGATTCGGCGCCAGGCAATTCCTTCCCATTCACTTAAAGTTTCGATGAAGGCACGTGCGAGGTACTAGGATGTAAGCATTTCTTTTTTGTTTCTTTTAACTGGATAATTGCACGTCACGTCGGCTTTTCTTATTGTTAAAAAAATAGGAATGGTATTCCGTCCGCGAAAATCGCAGCTTCTTTTTCAGTTTGTGTTGGTACTGCTTAAAGATTGCCAAAACATTGGATGCACAAGCATTGAAAACGCAACTGTATATCATGGATGAAGAAAGAATAAACAATTAAAACAGGGACAACACAACTACATCTTTCATGAAAGATGTGGTTGTGTTGTCCCTGTTTTAATTGTTTATTCTTTCTTCATCCATGACTTAAACCAACACGCTCTTCTACCAAGCAACTGTATAGCTTGTCTCTAATTTTGTTTTTTACTCAACTCAGGCGTAATCCATGGCTTACGTATTTCTCGACTGGGCTGAGAATATATATATATATATATATATATATATATATATATAATCTGCCCGTGTTATATATATATATATATAACACGGGCACTTCACACCATCGTACGTGGTCTCCGAGGAGTATATGAACGAATATGTGCAGATGAATGAACCGTACTTAATCCAATGAATCAAAGAATCAAAGTTTCCAGGAACCCGCCGAAACCCAAAAATTGGCGGAGCCAGGATTTGAACTCTGGGCCTCCCAATGTCCGGTCGGGCGTGCTAGCCACTACACCACTCCACCTTGGCTTTCTGGCGTTTCCTACCTGTCTTATTAATGCACAAGAAAGGAAATGTATCCAATCGGAGGTGTTCTGGAAGCACACGCCGCCGCGTGGAACGCGGTACGACGCTTAGTGTCACGTGGTACGTGCTTCCAGAGTTCAAATCCTGGCTCCGCCAATTTTTGGCTTTCGGCGGGTTCCTGGAAACTCTGATTCTTTGATTCATTGGATTAAGTACGGTTCATTCATCTGCACATATTCGTTCATATATATACATATATATGGGGTGTTTCAGAGTACTCAGGCCCAATCGCTCCTGTGAAAACTACTTATCGCAACGAAAAAAGGATTGTGTTGTTTTAGTCCTGGACCAGGGGCCCATTTAGGAAAATTATTAAAGTCCGGGATAGTTAATATGTTAACTCTTTTGCCTAATTAACTTTTTATTATTGTGTTTAAGGGCATGGTTTTAATTCGAAAATTGCTCGTCATCGTCACAAAGCACTAAATCAACAAATTTCAGAACGATAGAAGGCACGCGAAGCATTTTACGACTCTCTGAAAAACCGCACAAATTCGCCGGGTTTTTAAGTTTCAGTTTGCTATTGAGCCCATCTTGGGCCCCGGCGGCCCCGCGCCCCGCGGAGAGAAAGTGCAACCAGCCTCTGCAGCGCCGTCATCGCGCGACGCAGCAGATGCTGGTTGCACTATCTCTCCACGGGGCGCGGTGCCGCCCGAGCCGAGGTGCGCTCCGATAGCAAACCGAAACTTAAAAAACAGGAAAATTTGTGCGGTTTTTCAGAAAGCCGTAAAATGCTTCGCGTGCCTTCTATCGTTCTGCGATTGGTTGATTTAGTGTTCCTTGATGATGCTGAGCAATTTTCTAATTGAAACCATGCCCTTAAACACAATATTAAAAAAGTTAATTACGCAAAAAATAATTAACAACTTAATTATCCCGGACTTTAATAGTATTTCTAGATGGGCCCCTGGCGCGGGACCAGAATGACATAAACCTTTTTTTGTTGCGATGTGTAGTTCTCGCAGGAGCGATTTGGCCTGAGTTTTCTGAAACACCCTGTATATAGATATACTGAAGAAAACGCAGCTGAGAGGATTGTTGGAGCTTTTAAAACATATAACACATATAACCTGAGACACGGCTTTCTCAGGCCAAAACGTCGGCCAACTTTACCAATAATATGTTTTTTAAAAACTCCAACAACCGTCGCAGGTGCGTTTTCTTCCGTATATACTTTTCGTCCTCCTGCGCTACGTTTCTATTTATCTCTCTCTTCATATATATATATATATATATATATATATATATATATATATATATATATATATATATATATATATATATATATATATATATATATATTAAATACAAGTAAAATAATTCTAAGCATCATTCGCCTCAATGAATGCATCTTTTCTGTTCCAAGTTTCCTGCAGCAGTGCATCACGGAAGCCCTTCATCCGGTATTCCACTCGTAAAAAAAAGAATGCAATAATGGTAGAAATTTCCCACTCATTTGTATTTGTCCGTTTTTTTCAGGCAAAAGAGGACGAAACGCCAAAAATAAAATTTGCGAGCTACGCTGCCTCCAGCTTGGCCCGCCAGGTTCGTACTTTTTTTCTGAAAACAACAACAACAAAAAACAAAAAAAATTAAACTAAGGGGTTATCACGTGCACATCGTTTGTTTTGCATGCACTTTGCGCGCAAGACATGCGTAATACCAATTACTACAATCTATCTACTCAGCCTAGTCAACACCAAGAACCAAAAAGTGTTTGATTAAAAAAGAGCTGCCCAGCGTATTGTTTGGACAGGTAGAGCTGTTTAGGGTTCTTTGGATTCATCTTGTTAACGATCGGTATGACTTACTCCCGTGTCTCTCTCACGTCACAAGTAACACGTCCGTGACGTCACTCGATGTCATAATATCTCGTAACATCACGACCTCATGATACCTCAAGATATCAGTCACGTTAGGTCACGTGACTCTACTGCGTCAAGGGCATCATTGGACGTCAGAATGTCGCATGACGTCACTCGACACCCTGAGGATACGTGACGTAATGATGTCGCGTAATGTCATCATGTCACGTTACATCGTGAGGTCATAGAGCGCAATCACGTGGCCATTACACTCTTAATCTGGGGCCACCTAGGGAGCCACCTATAGCCGTGACAAATGAGATCCAACTTGTCACGGCAAATTTTGGGGCCACCTAAATTTGCCAGCCCGTTTGCCGTCACTTTTTAGGTGGCCCCAAAATTTGCCGTGACAAGTTGGATCTTGCCGGCCTGTTTTTTAGCTGGCCTGTTCTCTAGCTGGCCCGTCTTCTAGCTGGCCCGTCTTCTAGGTGGCCCGTTTTCTAGCTGGCCCGTTTTTGAGCTGGCCCGTTTTTGAGCTGGCCCGTTTTTTAGCTGGCCCGTCTTCTAGGTGGCCCGTTTCCTGGTGGCTATAAAAATGTCGCGTCGCCCACTTCCCCGCAGAGTATCTCGGAGGGTCCAGGACCGTGATCCACGAAGAAAGCCAGGGAATTGAGAAGTACAGCAAATATTCACCATAAAAATAAAGCTGTGACGTACCACTGAGCCTGAAGTCTTCTTGTGAGACGTCATGCACATAGTCACGTCGCAACTTTATTTTTGAGTCGCAAAATATATTGGAAAAGCATTGCCAAGCTTAACTTGTATACTTTAGAGATTGACTTCCCGAGTGCTCAAGGGGAAAGTAAATATACATGAATTGTTTCAAGGGCGAGGCCGATGGTTTCTAAACATTTAAAAGAACAGTAGGTCCGCAGGTAAACAATCCATTTATTTGTTTAAATTAGATGCACAGCTGAAGATACAGGTGGTGCTTTGTTCTAATAAATACCAAATTCAAACAATAAAACAGAAACGTAAATGAAAACTTGTGTCACTTGCTGAAACATTGGTGGAAGCATGGTCGTTGCTTTCACTTGACACACTTGGCGAACTCGGACCCGCCGCAGTTGAAGGTGCGCTATCCGAGCCAATTGTGTTGCAGTCAGCTGGAGCCTCGTGCCACAAGACGGGTCTCCGCGGCACGTCCGAAGGCCAGTTGCCTCTGTCGTCAAGGCACGATGCTGCTGCGATTAAGAATTTTCAGCATTTTATTATAAGAGAATAAGGGAGAGAGAACATGTCATGTGTATTAATTACGTTCTAAAATTTATCAAACAGCTTTTTTTTAGAAATTAGCTTGCTGGACGTTGGAGTCTATTCAGATGCTGAGTCATCGGCCACAAACATGGCCGCTAACATAACGTTTATTCATATGCTCTACGGGAAAAAAAAGCAAAAGAAATTTGCCAATAAGATAACCGCATGGCCGCCGAAAGCAAAACAGTAAAATTGCTTTCGGCGGCCATGCTTGTTTGTAGTCACTCGACATTAAAAAAGCAGTCTGACGTCATATGGATAGGCCCTATAGCTTTGATGGCAGTTTTAAGAGTGGGAACAAAACAGTAAATTTTGACGCCACCTGCAGGCAGGGGAGCTGAAGTTGTCCACTTGCCAGGATCTACAGGTCCATGGATGAATCATACAGGCTGCGTCATGAAACGCTGGCTAAATCGTTGCTAAAAAATTACACGTTGCACATAAAAACCTAATTTAGTTTAATATGAAAATTTATAAAGTTTGATGTTCAAATAATTATGGTGTCAAAAATTTTGAACAATTAACTTTCTGTAATTACTAAATTTAAAAGTATGGTCACGTCAGGGTAAAGACCTTGCTAAACTGCGTCAAATATTGTAAAACAAATAGTTTGACATTTTATTTTCAAAAATATTGTTTAATACAATGCATTTCTTAAATTCAGTTACCCTAATGAAAGCTTATAAACTCATTCACACAAAAATAACGTTTCGACCGACGTCGACGGCCGCGTCAGCAAACGAGGGTGGACGCACAAGGGCAAACTTAGTGTATTCTAGATGTTTCATTCATCCTTAATTTTAGTATAAATGTTCCTTGTGTGGCCGTCCTCCTTTGCCCAACGCGATTGTCGACGCCGGCCGAGACGCGCGACGATATACCTCGGACGGCAAGCTGATGAGTGCGCCGTATACGCCGTGCTCTATTGGCGGACACTTCGGCAAGAGAAATGTACACCCCTATAAACTATTTACACCTTGTCGCTGTAAAATGCTGGTGGCCACTGTCGAGGCAAAGCCGGCTAGCTTTCTTTGCCTTACCTTACCATAGGCAAACCGTAAGGGCTGCAACTGTGAACCGATAACTTTAAAAATTGTCACCCACCACGAGTGCTTGTGCACAGCCGAGCCGGCGTCAAACGCGAAGAGTTCGCGCTTGTAGCCGTTATGGTAAGTCCACGCTAAGGTGAAACGAGATAAACCTGTTTTCCGCTTTCCACCGGCTACGCCAGCCGGTATCTGAATAATATGAAAAGAGGCGGTTCCAAACGGTGCTCTTTAGAATACAAAAATATTGTGTATAGATACCTGTATCGTCCAGGACAGGGTCCCACTTGTCCTGTGTGGGCGAGAACACAAGTTACTAGTTAGGAACTCTTTCAGCAATGGACTCTAATTCGTTATTAGTCAGTGAGCTACATAATTACCCAGTCGGTTATGCTGAAGAGGACTGTGCCCGCAGTAACGGCACCTGCCAAGTTGGCTCAGTAGGGGTGGTCGTGCTGGTCGTGCCGCCAGATCAGCGGGCCGTGTGAACGCATCGCATTCACATGCTCCTCATGGTTACAGCGCCCGCGTCGAATTCCTTTGATACCCTTCGACGTGAGCACTCTGAAGAACGAACTCACTGTCCCGCGGCTTCGGCGCATTCTCTAACATAGGCTTACATCACCATGATAAGAAAACAAATGTCACCCGCAGATGCTTCCGATTAGATTCGTACTTCGTACGTTCGAGATTCATCGTCCTTGCAGGCTGGCTGCGCGCGCGGAGAACACTGGGCGGCCTCTACTGCCGTCATCTAGCGGAGAGCAGAGTGTTTTTTCCCGCTATTATGCGCATAGCCGGCCCGTTTTTGCCGGCCCTGCACAAACGGGCCGCCAAAAATTACAGGGCCGCCTACGGAGCCACCTATATAGCCATTCGCACCATCAAAGAGGGGAAGGGCCAACTGCAGCCGTGACGTTGCATACGACTATTTTGACGGGGCCGGATCAGTTCGCGGCTAAGTCCTGAAAACTTTGAACGTCACAGCCTATGGCCGTGACGTTTGACGGCCCCAGATTAAGAGTGTACGTTACGTTGGCGTGTGACGTCACAATGTCACGTGACGTCCAAACGTCGCGTGATGCAGTGGCCTCATGTGACACTGTTAAGTCACTTAGGTGATCGTGTAATGTCGCGTGACACCGTGATGTCACCCGATGACATAACTTCACGGGGCTTTATAATGTCCCGTGACATTATGATATCCGATGGCGTCGCAGAGCTCGGTCATCTAGCACCGTTACTTCACGATGTCACGAGACTGTGGACAATGTCAAGCGTCGGCACAAGATATCTTCACGTAAAGAAGTATTGTGACGTCATTGAAAGACCGTCACGTGACGGCTCTTCCTGGCTGTCCTTCATAAGGGTCTCTTTGAAGAATTCAGGAGATAAAGCGCATGCTTTGTTAAACTATTACCAGCGACATTTACCATCGCAGTCGCAGACATGGCTCGCACATGACGTCAGTTCGCAACTCTTTCTGGTGGCCAGAAGCACCTCGTTAATGCCGCTTAAGCTACCCTCTATCGCTCCCAGTTCCCCCATTATGTGTGACCATGTGACAGAAGAACAACCTATGTACAACGGATGTAATGCAGTATTCATAGAGCGATCATTTGAATGTCTTTAGAAGACATTACACAATCGTTTTCGAAAGAGAAGAAAATATATTGTTTTTCATTGTCACGTTCAATTTTAGTGGGGAGATTGACTTTACGGGTTCAATTCGCGGTTTCATTCACCTGACCATGAAGTCACAAAAAGTGGTCACGGGATCTGACGTCACATGAATTCAGGTCTCGTGACATCAAATTTTCCGCAAGATTTAGAAGGAAATTGACGTCACAGTAGTATGTCGCGGCGACACTTCACGTCAATTTTACCTCTAAATTTAGCGGGGAAATGTACCGATAGATGGACGAACAGACGCATCAATTTTTGGGATTAAAAGGATACTGAAATTAGGAAAAAAAATTTGCACGTATCTCACGTTCAAAATGAAGTTAAAAATGATCAGCAAAATCTGCGTGTGACAATCGCACATTTGTATTTTGAAAGGATTGCTCTATTTCTTTTTTGTTTGAAACGGCCGATTCCAGCTAGCGCTCGAAGAGCAGCCATGGGAGATAGTGATGAGACTCGGGAGATTCGATGCCTCTGGAGTGCTCGCGACGTCATGTGCTCGCGACGGCAAGACTACAGGCACATTGGCGCGGTTGTAAACTACGCCACTTGGTGGCGTGAACGCGCTAGAACCTGGCCGTTCGAGATGCCCGATGTCGAATTGCCCGATGACTCGTTTGGTAATGACAGCGGTGGCGAGAAAGTGACTGAGCTCTGCTTAAAACTTCCATCTGCCCGCACCCCGCGGGAG